GGAGTGTTTCACCCTCTACAAGTGCAAAAAGGCACGTAGAAAAAATACGAGTCTTTTATTTTTAGGTGGAAAGCAACATAAAAATCGGAGGGAGACACTTCTGATCCTCCTGTGTCAGTAAGATATAATGAAAAAATAATAAATTTAATAAGCGAAACGAGTAAGGCTACACATAATGTGTACCGAAAAGTGGCTACGTAACAGTAGCATCACAATGATGGCTTGAAGGAAAAAATGTCATTCAAGTATATACTTCAAAGTATACAAAGTATACTTCATTACTTTACAAATTGTGTACCATATAAATATAAAATTTAAAAATGTGATAAACTTTTGTGATTGATAGCACAAAAGTAAATTAACGTGTCGCAGGAAAAATTTGCCTATGCCTGAACATATGTAAAGAAAAATATATATTTATATTTATTGTTATGTTATTAATATTGCTGTTATTAATTTTATCTTTCAACGGAATGTTATAGATATTTGTTTTTACCAATATTATTGAAGATAATAAAGATAACTTTTATTTATTTTAGTATAATGAACATTATATGATAATGTTGCAAATAATGTTGCAATACGTGATCGATTACACAAACGTAATTGTAATATCTCAGCCTTCCTAGCCGAACAGTAACAATACGCACGAAAGAAAGAAAACATACGACGAGAGAAAAAGAGAAAACATAATCGGTGTACTGTGCAGCTAGCCGAAACTGCGATGCCGCTTCGAGCGCACACATACATACGAGTACTTTCTCTGTATGCGTCAGTGGTGAAAACAATGCAACATCGCTCTTGCGGCGTGAACACGCAGTCACACGCACTCGAGCAAGCGCTGACGCAACAGGATGGCGAACCGAGGAAGAAAAGGTAAGTGCAGTGTAACCTAATTATATTTGAGAGGGTGCGAATGTAAGAGAGCAGAAGAGCGGGAGAGCGGGAGAATGATCGAGTGAGTGAGTGAGTGATGGAGAAAACAGGAGAGCGAGAGAGAACGAGTGAACGAGCGAGCGAACGAACGAGAGAGCGAACGAGTCATCCAGAAAGCGGGAGAGAGAGAGAGAGAGAGAGAGATAGCGAGTGAGTGAGCGAGGGAGTGACCGAGAGAGCGGGAGAGAGAGTGGGAGAGAGAG